GTCAGCGGGGGGAGAGGGGGCAGTGCCCAGATGTGCAGGCGTAGCTGGCCTCCCTGTGGCCAGCGCTCAGAGTCTTAGCCCCGCTCGGCAACTCTCTCATTCGTGAGTCTCTCTCTCTCTCTCTCTCCCCGTGTCTCTATGTTTCTTTGTCTTCTGTGTCTTTGCATCTCTTTATCTCTCCTTTCCTGTTGGTCTCTGCTTCTCTAGGTAAGTCTTTGTGGGCCTCTTGTCTCTCTTTTATTTTTAAGTATTTATGTATTTATTTTTATTTGTTGGCCATATAGCATGTGGGACCTTAGTTCCCTGACCAGGGATTGAACCCGCACCCCCTGAGCTGAAAGTGCAGAGTCTTAGCCACCTGACCACCAGGGAGGTCCTTCTCGTCTCTGTTTTAATCTTCATTTCTCCGTCTGTCTCTGTCCCTCTCAGTGTCTGTCTCTCCTGTCCCTCTCTGTCTCTCAATCTCTGTCCTTTTTTGTATCTCTCTCTCTTTCTCCCTCTCAGCATCTAAATTAGAATCTGAAATCTCTCCCAGAAAGCACACTCAGGAGCCCTAGTCCAGGTTGGGGTGAGTCAGGCTTACCTCCCCATGGACCCGGGCCCCCCACTCTGGCCCTGGTTGAATATCCTTCGTCTGCAGAGAGTTTGTTCAAGTTTGAACAAGTTCCCCTCCTGTAAAAGCCATGAGATCGCCATGGGAAAATCCCATTCTGGCCGTGATCTGCACTCCTGGCGATCATCATGGGGCCTGGTACATCATGCCCCATCTGTTTGGACCCTTGTTCTTTACAAGGTGGGGGTCTGTGCTACAAATGAGCAGACTCATCAGCTCCCCATCCTTTCCCCACCTTGTGCATGTTTGAATTTTCCTCTTAGTGGGGCCCTGACTGAGTTCTCAACCCTTTGGAACCTCAGGGCTCTGTCTGCAAAGTGGAGGTGAATTTCAGAAAATGACTCCCATTTCCTGTGTTGAGCAGGGCTCCCTCAGCAGGCAGATGCTTGTGGGTGTGAGGAAGAAGAAGCTGATTCCAGGGGCACCAATAATAGAACTATGGAGTGAATCTACAGGCTGAAAGTCAAAGAGGGCAGTTGCAGGTAAGGCTTGATCCAGCAGTACAGCTTGGTTACCAAGATCCCAAAGATGATGGCCAGAAGCCTCTTCCCTCCTTCAAGCTCAGTGGGAGAGAGACAGAGAAAAAGGAAAGGAGAGAGGGAGAGGGAGGGAGGCACATCCCTCTTGGTCCCTGAAGCATTTCAAGGCTTGAATTGAATCATTTAAGTCACAGGACCACCCAGCCTTAATCCCCAGGGATGGAAATAGGGGCCACTGAAAAGGGAGAAGGACAATACAGATGTAAGCAGCCAATGAGGGTGCATAGAAATTCTCCTTCCTCTGGGAGAGGGTGGGGAAGTCGAGGAAGGTGCAGCAGATGCTTGCACAGCTGGGGTTAACCCAGCCCACAGGTCCAACCCACCAGTGGTCAACTCCAACTTCTTTCCACCTCCAGCTCCAGTGCCCCCACCTCCAGGCAGCCTTCCTTGACTGCCCCTCCCTGAATTTCCCCAGATTGAAACCCTGCTACTGGCCTGGCCCTGAGCTGTGCTTGTTCAGCTCTGTCCTTGTCCCTTATGGCCATGGGTCTCATGGCCTCTGTGCCCCTCTGCCCCTCTGCCCATATTGTCTACATGTCATTCTAATAAATCCTGCCTCCCTCTGCTTCCCCTGCCCAACCTCAGTTTCCCCTCCTGTAGGAGTATCTTGGGGCTTTTCAGGTGGCACTAGTGGTAAAGAACCTGCCTGCCAATGCAGGAGACATAAGAGATATGGGTCTGATCCCTGGGTCCGGAAGATCCCCTGGAGGAGAGTATGGCAACCCACTCCAGTATTCTTGCCTGGAGAATCCCATGCACAGACGACCTGATGGGCTACAGTCCACGGGGTCGCAAAGAGTCGGACATGACTGAAGCAACTTATCACAGCACAGCACAGAGGAGTATCTTATCAGGGGAGGATCTGGGAAGTGGAACAGGAATGCTGTTAGCCAGCATCTCAGCTAAAGATGGAAAAAAACACAAATCTCTGGTGAGATTTGAATTTCAGAGAAGCAGCAAACACATTTTTCGTGCAAGTTTTAAAACACATTCTTGCCTGCAGGCATGTCCTAGCTGCAGGGGACCACAGGGGCTGTGCCTTCCAGCTCCCCACACGCTGGGGTGGGTGCGGGGAGGCCTCCCCCAGGGCATCTGAGGATGGGGGCCTGGATCCCCGCAGTTGTCATCAGCACTCTGCACCCAAGACCCACTTATGCTAGTCACTGTTCAGCAGAACTTATATGTGACTGGGTCTCCTGATTTTATCTGGGGACCCTGGTTCAGGAGACAGTCTCTGCAGGGCCTGGCTGACCTCTGGAGCATTTATTAAGCACCTACTGTGGGGCTTAGACACCCCCCTCAGAGGTGGGGGCTGGGCTGAGAGACCCGAGGAACCAGTTCCTTGGGGATAGTGTGACCGGGCCTCTGGAAGCCCCCAACCCAGCCAGGCCTGGCCACTGCATCCCTCCCAAGGCTCGATCGCGCAGATCGATGTCTTCCCTCACGGTGTGGTGTTTGCAGGAGCTGCAGCCCTGATCGAAGCAGGCAAAGAAGGGGACGGGGAGAGCGGGGAGCAGTGGAGTGGGATGGGGGATGGACCAAGCATGTGCACATGTGTGTGTGTGCCCGTAACATGTGCGCAGCTGACGGTGCACGTGTGCCCACATAGAGCATCAGTGTGTCTGCTGGCCAGTGGCTGGTGTAGACATCCAGCCAGCCTGTGCCCCGGTGTGGATGTTGGTGTGGTCTGTGTAGACATGTGTGAACACTTGCATGCATGTGGTGGACCCTCTGACCCTGTCTTCTGTGCTGGTAGCCTGGCTGTGTTGAAGAGGTCCCCCAGGGCCACGGGCGGTGAGGGTCAGCAGGGACCCTCAGGAAGCCAGAGTCAAGGGTGTCGAGTGTCCTGGGTTGACGGCTCTCCCAGGACGTCCAGCCTTGGCTGCCCACGTGTGGACGCCAGGATGGTGGTTCCAGGTGTCCACCTCCTCTTTCCAGCTGGACAGGAGAGGATGAGACCACCAGGTCCTCTGGACAGACACTTGGCCGTCATCCCTCTAAAGCCATGTCATAAATTCCCAGTGTGGGAGGGCTGGGGGTCTGGGGGGATCCAGAGACAGAGACAGAGCAGAGAGAAGGGGCAGCGGCGGGGGACAGAAAGGCACTGAGAGACACACAGAGAGTGGCAGTTCACACTCTCTGTCTGTCAACTTGACTCCCCCAGGCCCGCAGGATAACAGATCCTTACACAGAAACAGGACTAAATGAAGAAGCCCCCTGGGGCACTCGCTGCTGGGGTGATCTGAAGGGCAGAGCTTTCTCCTTCCCTCAGAGGCCCTGGCTGGCATGCTGGCCTGCAGAGCTGGGGGGTCAACATCCCCAAAGCTGGTGGATGGACCCCACCATGGGTGGTCTGCCCAGAAGTTTCCCTTCTGCTCACAGCAGCTGGAGGGACTGACATGCCAACTAGCTTGTGCCTCTCTCCTGCTAAGACCCTCACTGACTCCCTATTGCCCTTATGATCAGATGCAGAGTCCTCAAGGTGGCCATGCCAGAGGTGGGTCCTGCTGTCCATCTCCATTTCAGAGAGGTAAATGCTGAGACTTGGAATGGAAAAGGGACTCAGCCAAACTTCTGAGTTCTGGCTCAGCTGGGAGAGGAACAGAAGCAGTGGCTGGGCCTGAAATGGTACGAGAGGGAGGTTGGACATAAGACAGGAGCCCGAAATGGGGAAGGACCTGCTCAGTCTCCAGAACACAAATGCAGTACCCATAATATCCCAACATGAACACACAGGCATGTTTGTCCAAAAGAGACTCACTCAGGTCCTAGTGACTCTTAGTCACCAACAATTATGACAGAATTCCAGTTCTTGTTTTCAGGCTGCGAGTTCAAGGGGAGATGTATCTGCATGTGCTGAGAAGTAACAGTGAGGGAAGAGGCAAACAGTGTAGATCCAAAGTCAACAAGTGAGGTTCCATACTTAGGGGCTATTAAGTGCAGAAATCAAAAGTACTGCAAAGACCAGCCATCACTCCAGAAAAGCAACCTTCATCTGGACCCCCATTTGCCCAGAAGTCACAATCCATTCCTCAGCTCTGTTTCAACAGAACATCAAATCTGTGATATAGTTTTTTTTTTCCTTTCCTTTTTTTTTTTGGCCACATTGCATGGCTTGCAGGATTTCAGTGCACTGACCAGAGATAGAACCTGGGCCCTGGCAGTGAAAGCTCTGAATCCTAACCACTGGCCACCAGGAAACTCCCTGAGATATCGTTTCATATATTAAAATAACGTAGGATTTATTTTCATTTGTTGTTCAGTCATTCAGTCCTGTTCAACTCTTTGTGACCCCATGGACTGCAGCATGCCAGGCTTCTCTGTCCTTCATTATCTTCTGGAGATTGCTCAAACTCATGGCCATTGAGTCGGTGATGCCATCCAACCAGCTCATCCTCTGTTGTCCCCTTCTCCTGCCTTCAATGTTTCCCAGCATCAGGGTCTTTTCCAGTGAGTCAGCTCTTTGCATCAGGTGGCCAAAGTATTGGAGCTTCAGCTTTAGCATCAATCCTTCCAGTGAATATTCAGGATTGATTTCCTTTAGGATTGACTGGTTTGATCTCCTTGCAGCCCAAGGGACTCTCAAGAGTCTTCTCTAGCACCACAGTTCAAAGGCATCAATTTTTTGGTGCTCAGTCACTTAAGACAATCCTGATAAAAGGGAGAGACAATGAAAGAAAAGTTGCCTTGTCCATCTGTCACAGGTTGAACATAGCATTGCCGCCCCCCACCCAAATTCATGTTCACCGCAACCTCAGAATGGGACCTTCTTTGGAAATAGGGTCTTTGCGGATGTAACGAGTTAGAGTCTTGAGATGCTTTCCAGACCTGACTGAGGAAGTGCCGTCATGGGGGTTGACATCCACCATAACAAGGACCAAAAGGTTCGTTGCAAGGAGCCCAAGAGCGAGGATGTCTATCAAAGGCTGCTGGTCAAGCTGAACAGGTTTCTGGCCAGACCAAGCACCTCCATTTTCAGTCAAGTTGTACCGAAGAGATTGTTTGTGAACTGCACCAGCCGTCCACCTTGGTCCCTTTTCCAGATGATAGAGAAGATGCAGTTTCCAGGCTGGACAGGCAAAACAGCTGTGGTCGTGGGGGCTGTAATCGATGGTGTGTGTGTCTAGGAGGTGCCCAAACTGAAGGTGTGAGCTCTGTGCCCAGAGTTGCATCCTCAAAGCCGGGGCAAGATCCTCACCTTTGGCCAGATGGCTGTGGACTCCCCCAGGGGTTATGGCTCTATCTTCCTCTCTGGTCCTCTCCAGGGCTGAGAGGTGTACAGGCATTTCAGCAAGGCCCCAGGAACACCGCATAGACACACCAAACCCTCCATACACTCCAAGGGCCAGAAACTCGAGCACACCAGAGGCTGATGAGCCAGTCTCGGCTACGCAAGCTAACCCCAGATTCTACCTTGTTATTGAACAGGTTTGTGATGCTAAAAAAAAAGAAAGAATCTTGAGATGACATCATTCTGGATTTAGGGTGTGACAGAAAAAGACAGAGAAACATACAAGGAATAAGGTGATGTGAAGAGGAGGAGCAGAGACTGGAGTTATGCGGCCACAAGACAAGGGCTGCCAGCATCCCCAGGAGCTGAGGAAAGAGGCTGGGTTTTTCCTGCAGAACTTCCAAAAGGAATCAGCCCTCTGACACCAGGATCTCGGAGTCAGGCCCCAGAACCGAGAGAGAATCAATAGTGTTGCTTTAAGCCACCCAGTTTGTGCGACTTTGGTTACATGGACCCGAGAACACTCACACCTCTTCCTACTGTTGTAGCATCTGCCCTGAAACATTTGTGTGTGACCTTTCACCCTTTTTCCTGTTGATGGGAATCTTTTCTTCCTGTGTGTAGTTCATCCAGGACACTCCTCTCTTGTCAGTTTACAAAAGTATGTGAACGTTTTCCTAAGTAAATACTCAGTAGTCGTCACCTTAAATACTGGGACACAGATATATCATCGTATATTTATTCATTAAAGATTTATTTATTTTTAGCTGTGTTGGGTCTTTGTTGCTGCAGGTGAGTTTTCTCTAGTTTCAGCAACTTGGGGCTACTCTCTGGTTGCACTGATTGGGCTTGTCATTGCAGTGGCTTCTCCTGTTGTGGAGCATGGGGTCAATAGCTGTGGTGCACAGGTTTAATTGCTCCTCTGCATATGGAATCTTCCTGGAGCAGGAATCAAACCTGTGTCCCCTGCATTGGCAGGTGGATTCTTAACCACTGGACCACCAGGGAAGCCCTATCATCATTTGTTGAGCAAATTGTCTTATTTTGAACACTTAGGTGGTTTCCAATTTTTTTCTGTTGGAGACAGGACAGCTGTGAGCATCCTTGAATTTAGACACTTGAACACACCGTGGAGTTTTCCTTTAGGACACTCTCAGTGTAAAGGAGTTGCTTGTCAGAGACCATGAGACAAATATTAAGGCCCTGATGATACATTTTTTCAAATCATCTCCAAAGTACCATTACCAAATGCACATCCTTTAGTTGTATCCCAGCAGGTACATTTGCCATCATCCACACCAGCCATGGGAGTTGTTATTTTTTAAGCCTTGCTGAGGTATACATTTCAGTTATTTGTTTACTGATCAGCAATTCCACTTCTAGATATACACCCAAAAGAATTGGAAAGAGCTATTGAAACAAGTACACACATTCACAGCAACAGGATTAACAGGAGCCATAGGTGGGAACAATGTAAGTGTCCACTGATGGATGATGGATAAACACAATGTGGTCCATCTATGGAGTGGAATATTACTCAGCCTTAGAAAAGACAGAGATTCTGACACCTGCTACAACCTGGATGAATCTTGAGGACGTGATGCTCAGTTAGAGAAGCAGACACAGAAAGCTGATTCCACTCACAGGAGGTCCCTGGAGGAGTCAGATCTACAGAGACTGAAGTAGATGGTGGGGCCAGGGGCTGGGGGAACGTAGGAGGAGTCAGTGTTTCATGGAAACAGAGCTTTAGTTTGGGAAGATGATGTTGGGGATGGTTGCACGACAATGTGAATGTGCTTAATGCCACTGAGCTGTGCACTCAAAATGGTTAAGATGGTGAGTTTTATGTCATGTAGATTTTACTACAATACAAAAACATTTTTAATGGGGAAAAAAATGAGGTAAAATGTATTTGCAGCAAAATGCACAGATCTTGGTCTGCAGTTTGATGCATTTTAACAAATGACCACTCGTTATGTGAACAGAATCCTGCCACATCGGAACGCTGTGGTTCTAATTTGTGAATTCTGGTTTTTCACGTTATTGGTTATTTGCATTTCCTCTTATGGGAATTTCCTCATTGTGGTTTTTGCCCATTGCATCAGGGTGGGCTGCTGCCAAGAACCAAAATAAACCTGAATAGCCTGAGAAAGGAGACTGCTCAGTCTAGACACTGCACATCTCTAAGCTCCCGTGTGAACCAGGGGTCCAGGGAAAATCGTGAAGTAAGAGAGCATCAACCGAGACATGTGTGGATGACACACATGCTTGCACAATCCCAGCCTGTGTCTGCAAGGAGACCCCTGACCCCAGTAATGCATATCCTTTGGGAGGGAGACTGAGATGGTGGTCTTTTTGCTCTGTTCTATCTGCTGTGGCTGAAAATATCATTTGCCACTGCATATAATAAAGTAAACATGCTCAGAATTTAAATGTACTGGGACTTCCCTGGCTGTCCAGTGGTTATCCATGCTTTCACTGCAAGGGTCACGGGTTCCATCTCTGGTCGGGAAGCTAAGTCCAACAAGCCACATACAAAAAAAGAAAAGGAGAAAAAAGAAACAAAATGTACTGCTGGTGTGCTATTGTCCCCAAGAGCAGAGCATCTTCCTGAGCCCAGATCTGAAGACTCTTTTCTGGTTGAGACATCCACCTCGTCTCCCCTGCCTCACGCCCACCACTCAGATTCCATCTCCAGGTCTTTGCATCTCATCCTTCCCTGGGCAGAGGACTGAGGGTCCCTTTCCAGCTCTGAGTCACCCCTGCACTGAAGGGCCAGCTAAACATTGATGGGAAGATGGGGAGGCAGACATATGGATGGGGACACAGGTGAGTGGATGGACGGCTCAAAGCATAGAAGGGTGGTGGAGGCTAGATGAGAGAAAACACAGGAAGGTCTTAGAACAGGGCCTGGCACATAGGCAGTCAATTAAGTGTGAATTTGTGATGGGATGGGGAAGGGAATTCACAGGTAGACAGTGGAATGGATGAATATCTAGGTGGTAGGAGGATGGATGGATGAAGGAATGAATGAAGCCATGATGGGCAAGTGAATATGTAGGCAGACTAGGTATGTGAAGAAGTGCTGACATCAATATGGCAACAAATGGTTGGATAGATGGAGGAATGGGCAGATGGAAGGATAGGAGGATGATGGATGATGGTTGACAGATAAATCTGTGGGCCTAAGGCTAGATGATGGGTGATGTATTAATAGATGAATGGATAAATGGACAGATGGCTGGCTGGCTGGCTGGCTGGCTGGCTGGCTGGATACAAGAGCATATTATAGATGGTAAAGGTAAGCCTGACTGGCTGGCTGGGTAGATGAATGAATGGATTGATGAGTCTATGGATGGATGAATGAGTGGATGGGCCTATGGATGGATAATGGGTGATGTATTAGTAGATGAACAAATGACTGGATAGAAAAGCATATTATAGATGGTACATATAAGGATGACCAGATGGATGGATGAGTCTATGGATAGATGAAAGAATGGATGGGCCTATGGATGGATGATGGATGATATATTAATAGATGAGTGGATGGATGGGAAGATGGATGGATGGATACAAGAACATATTATAGATGGTGGATGAATGGATGGATAGATAAATGAATGGGTGGATGAGTCTGTGGATGGATGATGGATATTTGGGAGGATGAACGAATGATGGATGGATAACTAGGTGACTGAGTGGATGGATGAAAGAATGAATAAGTCTATGGTTGGGTGGATGGATAAAAGACTGGATAGAGGGATGATTAATGTATGAGCAGTGGATGAATGGATGGATGGATGGTGAATGGATGAATGGTGGATGGATGGTAGATGGATGGATGGATGGATAGTGGATGGATGGATGGATGGTGGATGGATGGATGGATGGATAGTGGATGGATGGTGGATGGATGGATGGATGATAGATGGATGGGTGGGTGGATGGATGGATGGTGGATGGATAATGGATGGATGGATGTTGGATGGATAGATGGATGAATGAGGTAGATGGATGGATGGATAGTGAGTGGATGGATGGATGGATGGTGGATAGATGATGGATGGATGGATGGATGGGTGGGGGATGAATGGATGGATGACCATACACATGGATGGATGACCAGATGGACAGATGGCTATGTGGACACTGTCCCCATTGAGTCCCACATCCAACAGGGCTTCAGGCCACTGCTTCCAGGCCTGGTTGGTTCTCAGGGGCTTCACTTTCTGTCTTGGATGTAGCCTTCTGCTACCCTCTGGGCCTCAGTCTCTCCCCACATCTGGGGAAGGGACAGGGGGAGCCCAGAGTCCACTATGCTGCTCCCTCTTCCACTACCCCCATTCCTCCTCCCCAGGAAGGACCGGTCCAGGATCAACGAATGAGGAACAAGATGCAAAAAGGTAATTAATCTATGGGGAGGGGAGGAGTGTTAATACCTTGAAGACACAGGGGACACACTGTCAGCTCCCACCAATTAGTGGCCTAAACCTGTGTGGCTGCTCTCCATGCTGCGGCCGAGTTGATTACTCTAATTAATTTTGCATCGACCGGCATGGATCTGCCGGAGAGCGCTGATTGGCCTGGGAGATGGATGTTGCTGGCTGGCCCATGGCCCCCATGGTCTCCAGCTCCCCACACTCCCTGCCACTTGGCTGGTCCCTCAATGTCCAGTCTGCAAGGTCAAATGCTGCCCTGCCCCCGCACCAGCCTCTAGCATCCAGCCCACTGCCCAGGACACACCCGGATCTGCAGAATAGGGCAGGAGCACAGCCGGGAGCCTGTTGCTCTGTAACAGTGGTTGTGGGGAGCTGGAGGCAACTTCCAGGGCCGACGAGAGACCCCTCAGCTGGCCTGGCCTCTGAGGGCCGCCCAATGG